GTCTTGATCTTCGTGATCACCGGTGTCCAAATTGAAGTGAGGAGGTGGGTCACGAGGAGATTCAGAAGCAGCTCGACGTTGGGGTTGTTTACCCGTACGGCGGGCTATGGCTTGGAGGATTGGAGAATCAATCCGAGTAGTAGACCGGCCCCGAGCCGGAGCGACCACGGGGGGTTGTCCACGGCGAGGGGTCAGGACTTGGACAGGTTGTCCGTCACCAGTGTACAAGGTGCTGTATTCGAATTGTTGTTCCTCTTCCATAGCTTCAGGAAGAGTCGACGTAGTTGGGACTGTAGCTGGACCGAAACCGCGATTACGGCGACGTGGTTGACCGATAGCAGAGATAGAGTCGGAGAATGGGGCAAATGATTGGGCTGTAGTGAAGAAAGTGTTTTCTTCGGAGTTAGCTCTAGATTGAGCTCGAGTTTTCGGAGGCATAAAAATGATATGTCAGTACGACGTTAACGGATTGAGTTTAATTATACTGTTAAGATCATGTACACCGTGTAACCGTGCCAAAGCTACAAGGTGCCTAAGTGCGGAAGACGAGTGGGACAGTAGTGAAGTTATTAACAACACCGCCGTTACGCCGTTAGTCCCCGGAGAACGAGAGTAGAGAGAGAGGCGCTAAGTAGCAGCCAGGTCGGAGCGGCGGTATCGCCGGTGACGAGGAGCGAACCAGAGAACGTTTAAAGTCCTAAGGTCGAGGAGAACGTACTTCAAGGCGTTGAGCCTGAAGACTTAGAGAAGAGTTAAGTTGAGAAGGGAGATCTAAGTTGATAATTAAACTGAGGAACTACAGTAGCGTACAGGCAGTATTTATATCTACGGAACGGCGCATCGGTGCGGAGCGCTAGACTAACTACTAGGAGCTATACGAGTAGTACCTGCAGGGTAGAGTAAAAGACAATAAGGAGAGACTAGAACGAAAGAGTAAAAGACAATAATGAGAGACTAGTACGAAAGGATATGTGTAGCGAGAAAGAACAATAGGAAGAGATTACAATAGGAGCAGATCTTCGGAGTACCGAGCGGCGGAATGGAGGCCCGCGGCATGGACTTGACAGATAGGAGATCATGCCGAACGAATAGATATGGCAGTTACCAATCTAGGCATAGACTGGCTATGTTACCATAATCCCAGCATTGATTGGAAGGAATCTACGTCAACGTTCGAACATTGTCCTGACATATGTGGGTATTTGCCACATCATGAATCACCTGAGGATGATGGTACAGAGGAAAAGCTTGTCGATGGTGAAAGGATCTTCTGGTTTGATCGGGATGGATATCTTTCTGACCAAGGCCATATCAAAGTACAAACTCCTACTACAGACGCCGCTGCTCCATACCTTGCTGAGTATGCTGATGTATTTAGTAAAAAGGACTTTGACCAAATGCCAGAAAGATGTCCATGGGATCATGCCATACTAACACCAGGTTCCAAGCCAGTTGATTGTAAAGTCTATCCCCTCAGTCCGCCAGAACAGAAGGCTTTAGATGAATTCCTAGGAGAAAACCTTAGATCGGGATGAATACGGCCATCATGTTCACCCATGGTGTCATGCCCTGTCCCTAAAAGCTCCCCTTGTTCATCCTCCTAGACATCCCAGGGATACTTACCAGTTCCTCCGTACCTCCTAGATAACCTCCCAGGAAACCCCCATGAATCACGGAACCCCAACCAACCTCGCGACCAATACTAACCTCCATCTGAAGCAACTGTCTCGAGACTCACGTATGCCATCGGACAATCCCCCCTATCAATTTAGCCTCATGGATTCCGCACTTCACGCCATCCCCATTAGATGCTCATTTATTACAATGTCTCCTTACCTATTCATCCCACCTATATAAGTATCTTCGGTAACATAAATGGACCCAGCTTGGTATATTTTGAACACACACCCTTTTGCGTAGGTCCAGTCCCTGTCCCTTTGTACCTGCTAACCATACGGATTTCTCTTTACTCTTTGTTTCTCTCAACTCTTGTCTATTGTCTCTACGATCATCTATACGATCCAATACACGCTTTCACTTCATGTCTAAGCAATCCGAGTGAGTCCCCAAGCTCCCTCAAACAATACTAAAGCTCCCCAACGCCTAACGCCTTGGTGAGCTAACCTCCCCAAAACCTCCTTGAGCCCCCCAATTGCTTCACAAGCTCTGGGACCTCAATCTAAGTAACATCGAACTATGTGTCACTTCTCCATTACCACCTCCAACACTCGAGGACGTCACCTCTAACCCCCAGTTCCCGGGACCTCCCCTCCCGGGCGTATACCTTCTCAGGAGCTTATACACTCAAGACCTATTCTCTCTACGACATATTTGATCTTACGTTGACATTCTAGCGAGTACAACTCCTCCTATGCAACACTACTAGGTTCCGTACCTCTACCTCCTCTACTTACGCCTTAGGGACCTCCCTGGACCTTACAGGAACCCCTTCAAGGGTCACATCTCTCAGTCCCAGCCACTACTAGGTCATTCCCGTCCTCGATTGCAGTTTCCGTAGCTCCCTTCGAGCTCCAGCCTGCTCCTAGCACGCTACAACATAAACTCCTCATACCAAAACCTACCCTAAGACCTATTCTGACCCAGATCTTACACATGGCTTCACCTTTCTTCTTTGTCAAAAAGCAAGATGGAACACTACAGCCCATACAGGATTATCGAAAGCTAAATGACATGACTGTCAAGAATCAATATCTACTCCCGTTAATCCAGGAACTCATTGATAAACTCAAGAATTCCAAGGTCTTTACCAAAATGGATGTCCGATGGGGATTCAATAACATCTGGATCAAAGAAGGAGACAAATGGAAGGCAGTGTTCAGGACAAACAGAGGCTTGTTCGAACCTACAGTTATGTTCTTTGGACTTACAAACTCACCTGCCACGTTCCAAGTGTTTATGAATCACATCCTTCGAAAATTAATTGATCAAGGACACGTCATTGTCTACATGGATGATATCCTTATCTTCACAGACGACATTGAGGGACACCGAGTCATCGTCAGAAAGGTTCTTGATATCCTAAAAGCCAACAAGCTGTATTTGAAACCTGAAAAGTGTACCTTTAAGACTAGGGAGGTTGAATATCTTGGAATCATCGTAGGCAATGGACAAATCCGGATGGACCCGAAAAAGGTTGAAGCGGTCCAAACCTGGCAGCCACCAGAAGAAAAACATGAACTACAATCATTTTTAGGGTTTTGCAACTTCTTCCACCGGTTCATCCGAGACTTCAGTAAAATTGCCAAACCCCTAACACGGCTCACAGGGAATATGGCTTGGGAATGGACATCTCTTGAACAGGATGCATTTGATCGACTAAAAGACCGGATCATCGAAGATGTTACTCTCATTATCCCAAGAGAAGCTGGAAAGTTCTGGGTTGAAGCCGACTCTTCCGATTATGAAAATGGTGCCGTATTGTCACAAAACGTTGACGGAAAGTGGAGACCAGTAGCCTTCAGGTCCAGATCACTCAATGAGGTTGAACAGAACTATCAGCTTGGCGCCAATAGAATCCTTGGCCATACCACTCCGTGCCCATTGATATTTGTTGGGATACTCCTCGGCCAGGATCAAACAACTGGATGCATGCTTCTTGATTCGAGTTGAATCGTTATTTCCGCTCTCTTGGTGAGGACATTTTGTTGCAATACATGTCCAACCTGGTTTTCCTGTCTTTGTTGTTTTCTCGACCCGCTCTATTAGTTGCTTGATATTCATGTTTGGCAGCCATCCCATAGCAACTGTCTTACCCTGTTCATGATCATTAATAGTTAACTTTGATTGAGATGTGCAACAGCTATCATTACCTTGACAGATACTGCTGTATCAGGTTCTGAAGAAACAGAACTGGTTGTTGCAGTAGATAATATGCTATCAGGTGTGCTTATGAGGTGAATTAGTATCATATCATTCATATGATTATGGATAGAAACAGCCTATGCAAGGTATTTGACTCCATTTAAGACATGTTCCAAACGTTCCTTTACTATGTCAAATGGAAAGACTTTCAGATCCCACTTTATACCATACAAGTACACAAGGAAGTACTCCATTCCGAGTTCACCACGGCGGATTTCCACAAATCTCCCCTCCGAGTCACAGCAATCGCGACCAAACACATGATCAAGGCATTGGTTCAGATTCTCCCAAGCCTTGTCTGCAGATCCGTCTTGTGCATTGGAGACAGCAGTATAAAGTTTATCATCTGCTGTCCCAAGTGGGACAGATGATGACAACCACTTGGATATGAAGTAGAGCCGATATTTCAAGAATGTCAATGGTGAAGGGATCCATGAAAGTAAAAAGCATCAATGAGCGGCGCCCGACAGTAATGTCAGGGTAACAAAATCAAATTTGCAGAGTCTAGACAAGTAAGGCTGTTCCAATAAACATGATACTGTTTACAAGCTAGCAAGAGAAGGAAGGGAGCAAGAATGAAATTATATGCTATATAGTGGTCCCTAGCACTAACTGATAGTTTCTCACATTTCTCACATCCATTTTTCAGAATTTTCGGACCCATGTTAGTAACATTGTTAGTAACATGTATTTCTAACATATGTTATGTAGGAAGTACTGACTTTCTTGGCAGACCCTAGCTAACTGTGAACACCATCACATAGCGGGCCCTGCTTGCCGGCGCTATGACGTTATTTGCTTGTACATATGTACAAAGGATACCAGGAACTGCTTCGGTGGCAGATAGACCTTAACAAGCAAGGTGATGAACCGCCAAATCCGGATTGTGGTTGCCCCTTGGATACGTGATATTCTTGCTTGCAAAACGCAGGACCTCTCCCCCGGAATGTACAGCGAACCTGTTCATCGCGCACCGCCAAATTCAACATCGAATCTCACCATCAATCGGGCTTGCAATTGGGATTCAAACAAAGGGACCTTTGTTGCGTCGATACTATTAAAGAGGATATTATCAAAATTCTTTCCCCAAATCTTCTCACTACTCCTTCTGAATCACCATGACCGACTTAAAATTCCACTTCAGCTTCAATAAAGATGGAACCACAAAATATGTTCAGCTGCCGGCAGCTCACTGTATTGCTGAAGTGGACCATCAGAGGTAGCGTTTTCATCGTCATTACTGTGGCTTTAGCTTTTGAACATCGACTTTCAATATCTTAGCAACTCTAAGAACCACGTCCCAGACGACGGTCTCCATTTTGGTGATTTGATAGCCACCCCTCAATAGTGAGCGAGTAAATTTCGGTCCTTCCAATTACTAATGCGCTGTCGTAGTGATCACCCCCAACGCCAGTATTCTGGACATCCTATGCTGCTTTCCACCCACGAAGACACTAGTACTACTACGGCCTCATAGTGAGTCGCTATCAAATTCGCTATTTGCGCCTCTGACATGCTGCATAGTGTGTCTCCCAAAAACCAACATCGTGATGCTGGGGAGTATCACTCTGACATGAATGTTCCTCCTTCCAGGTAAGCTATTCAAAGGCTTGGAATTGGAAACCCTTCAAGTAGTCGATGCTTTTTGTAGTCTCAGTGCTGAGCCACAGCGCTATGACCTCCCTAACTTTCCAAATTGCTTCATGCCTCTACCTGCCGTATCGAATCCTGCCCAAGTTGAAGGTCTTATGTGTAGTGCTGTTGCCATGTCCCCGCAGTGAGTTGTTCGAAGCTGTGCCAAATCTGTGCGATCACTGATGATTTTACAGTATTCAGCAATCTGAACAAGCTGACCTTCCTGGTTGTTCCACGGTTCAAGACAAAGACCTGTGTTCTGGCAGTACTGACCACTCTCTCCTGGGGTAGCTATCCTGAAATTGTGCCGATTCCTCTCAGCCACTGACCTTCATGTAGTGTCCATCACAAGCATGCTCCTACTTCCAGTAAACCTGCACCAACGACTGACGACTCACACGCCGCTGATCGTGCTTCGACTGCATCTCCAAGGTGAGTCTTATGAACTTGAACTTGTCCTTTCGGTCGCTGATGATATGAATAGTCTTCATGAAAATTCTGAACATGTACATGCTACTTCTTCGGCGGTTTCTTCCGAGGCGAATCATGATCCAGACCTGCAAAGCATGCCCTCAGATGCAAGCGTTACAAATTCATCCGAAAGAGATCTAAGCCCCAAGGCCGAATCAGGATCGGTTTGGACTGGTATCAAGGTATCTGCCCAGGATTCTGCCCAGGATTCTAAAGCGCCAAAAGAAAATCATTTACGAGTTGGCATCCACGGTGGAAAACCTTCATCTACAATCATTTTTGTTCAGAAAAAGGTGAATCACAAGGATGCCTGGACTCGTTCCTTCATTCTCAAAGCTGCGCTCATGGTTGATCACCCTCCGGACTTCGAATTGCCTCGCGGCTCCGGCCTCCTACGTCCTAACGATCTTTTCGTTTGTGTGGACCTGTCATTATGGCACGAAACAGAGGATGTTTTGAGTGCAAACTCCATCTCCTCTACCTCGATATCTTCTAGTGCCCTTTCCTCCAACTCCAGTACTGCATCATCGAGGAATGATCCATTGCGTTGGTCTGATCCAACCATGTCGCAATACCTGCGTATATGGTGCTGGGACGATAAGCTCAAAGTGTGGCAACCGATACAATATGGTTGTTCGCGCTGTATTTCGAGCTATGATCTTGTCTTAAGCTTCTATCGGAACACATTCGAACCTTTGTGGGTCACACCTGAATCACTGCGCAGAAAGGATCATCATAGATTGGAACCCTTGACTAAACCGAAGGCAAGAAGGAAATCCAAGTTGGGTAAATTGCGGTCGAAGTGAAGACCATCATAGGTGAAATCACAGTAGACATTCAGTGGATATACTACATGCAAACTTGTTATTTTGTTCGGAAATTCATATACTTAAACTCATTAACTCTCATGTTTCGAAGTCAACATCTGTGTTACGGGGGTCGGTTCATCAAGAATTTTGTCAAATCTAGTTATGTAGGTCGAGAAAATAAGGAGCGGTTTCTTGATGTTTCGCGATTCGGGATTTGATGAGAACAGCTTCTGTTTCTGATACGGTAGCGATCGCGTGAAGAGCAGCGATTCAGAAAACAGATAAAGGACTAGCTATATGACGTCACTAGTCGCTCACCGACCAATTGCAAGTCAACTGCGAACGCAATGGTCAGACTCGCGATTACTGAAGATAGTCACCGATACCATCAGCAAGCCCCAACGCACATGCAGCTTCAACACTACCGCCAACATAATCGATCTTCGTACGTTTCTCGCCTCTGAGTTTAAAATCGTCCAGTTTACCAAAATACACCCCCGAGAGCACCTCAAAACTTGTGACAACCCGTTTAGACAAGATGTGTACAAACAAGCAGCGGAGAAGAGTGTGGAATCAGTCAAGAGGTACAGCGATTAGGAGACGGACATCCCTGACAGAGATGTGTTTTGTCTGTTCTGGGCCCCGCGGGTTTGCGGTGAGGAGCAGAATTGTTGTTGTTGTTGGATGCAGATGGGGTTGGGGGTTAGGTGACAACGACGATGAGTTGGGGTTGGCTAAAGTAGAGGAGTTGATGATGGAGGGGGGAGGGGGGAGCGCTAGAGTACAGCCACGCCTTCAACGACGACATCGCCTGGTCAACCCAGAGGGGCAACACCAAATGGGATCATCTCGAATACAGGACCTGGACCGGGCGGTGGTGGAGCATATCGCTTTGAAGAGCATAATGGACCCAAGCAGTGTAGAGCCCGAAAGGGTATTTACCTCCTCCTTCAGATACGACAGAGGCAACTGGCACCCAGACCACTGCGAACACGTCGACGTCAACGATGCTCACAGACCTCTCCACAGGGGCAATGTTCGTAAGCCCATGGGACAGTTTTGATAGGTTGGGACGCGGGCTCAACGACACGTAATGGGAGATGGTGGGAGAATAAAAACTAGCTGTTCTGTGACTTGCATAGGAGTGATTGATTGGGCGAGCCGAGAAGAGCTCCTGTGAAAGCATTTCCTCGTACTTTCCGGTGCTCGACACTGCGCCAGAAGACGCGCAATGGTTTTCGCCTAGCTCTCTTCGTATCCTGGTGAGTTCGTTCTTCGGTGCGCTCGACAAATTTGGCTCTTGAATCTTGGTAGTTGTTTTGCCCGTGCTAGCACCTTCTTCCCCGCACCTTCTACAGCTCTGGTACATGAATAGCCTCATCGATGCTAAAGAAGCTACCGTCGCTTTTCAAGATTTAAACCTCCTTGCGAAGCCGAGTGACTGCCTTGCAGCCATTCGACATCATCCCATCCTCTTATTATGAAGCACAACTCGGGTTTGCTATATTACGGGCACGGTTGGCATATTCAAAGGTGCTTCTAAAAAGCTTGAGATTGAGTAGGAGAAGGAGAGATACTCCTCTGCGAGGCCGAGTGGGAAGCGGTAGCTTCAGTCTTTGGATGCGGAATTATCGCGGTGGATGGGCGAGGGAGAAAGAGATGTTGTGGGGTACCTGGTTCAGACAAAAGATCTAGACCCATGATTTTGGCAAAATTTTCATCAATGAGGATGAATCTGACGTGTTATTTGTAGCATCGCACTGGTAATGTACCTTTTATGTTGTACAGCAGTTCTTCGCTGCTGCCGTATCGATTTTTCACGAAATCGTTCCATTTCATGATGAGCATCGACATTGAGGAAGAACAACGAACTGTATTCGATCTCAATGTGTGGATGTGGACGAGAAAGGTGGAAGGCTGCTCACTCGCGGGGAGATGAGCTTCCGAGCTCTGTAGGTACGGTCCAGGGCAGGCAATAATTGAGGTCAGGATGGATCTGTAGATCGAGTCTGACGGGTCGTTGCGCTGTAAAATAAGAGAGAGAAGCATGAAGCAGAGTGTACGCTGATCCTTCGAGCTCCAATTCCAGGACTGGGAGTTAGCCATTTGGGAAATGGCGGGACCGACGCGCGCAAGTTATTTCCGACAACCAGGTGTTTTGATGAAAGATAATTAATGGAAATTGATAATAATTAGACGCTGTTTGAGCGCGCAATCTCAGCATAAACGCTTACAAATAAACTCTTCCGTTACACTTCCGTTTGTTGATCCTCACTCGCACTCTGAACATGGTGCTGATTTGGAAAGAGAGCGACCGCTTCCAAATTGAGCCTTGTACAGCTGACTCAAACCATGACCGAAAATACTCCATCAATTCGATATCACTTTCGCCTGATGCACACTATCTGGCCATTGGCTACGGGACTCAACTCCAAATCTGGGATTTGGTTGATAATACGGCAGTTACTCCGAAGGCTAACGTAGAGGTCAACACCACGACCAATTTCGCGATTTGGTTCTCGAATTCGCCAAGATTAGTTACAGCTCATGACGAAGGACCGGTCTATGTCTTCACAATCAAAAACCCAGGAGTTGACATAGCTTACCACCGTGACATTGGTGTCGAAAAGCCTGCCACATCTATTGCAATTCTAGATGAAAGAACTATTGCAGTCGCACTAACGGAGTTTGTACAGATTCAATGGTTGGATGAAGGTGAGTTTTGCGCTTGATTCACACTTGTACTGGGCGTCTTAGTTAAGACCCCGAAGAGTCAGGCAGATGGAAGACTATAGCACAAATCTCTCCTTCTCTTAACGAGGGCACATCTGTAAGATCGGTGCATACCATTACTCAGAATAGAGTTCTGGTTTCATGTAGTGATGAACAAGCTATGTGGGTGATTGTCCTTCCACGTTGTGTCGATGCTGAACAAAATATAGCATTTGGCAGATCACCCGAGACTCTGTTGGCTCTGTTGAGCCTCAAGTTCTGAATGTGTTTTTGCTTCCTGGTCTAATGTAAGAGATACCGCTTCCCAATATTATCTTGTAATCATAAATATACTTCTCAGTGTAGACTCAATAGGAAACCAAATATTGTGTACGGATCATGCATCCCGCACGTACAAATCTTTCAAAATTGGTGCAGGCGGTGTTGAACCTCAAGCAACCCTTTCTCCACGGACACGCGATGTGTATAAGACACCACAGCCAGCTTCGACTGCAACATTTTTACCCCCTTACGGAAATGCTATAATTGGTGGAGGTGTTGGACAGCTAATACTATTCGATGATCAGGGCAATCGGTTACAGAATCTCTCTTTCAAGGATGAGAGTGAGCAATGTTCAATGGTTGAACAGGCTAATCGAGGTGGGTTTTCGCTGCTCAGAAGAATCATGTGAGAATTGAACTTTTCTTGATCACAGCTTGTGTTGCGCCCCAATCGATTTCAGTAAGTTCATTGCCTACGTATAACTGGCGATCTCGATGTCTGAAGTTTATACACTCAGTGCATCTACGTTAATGGCACCGATACTGGCTTTCTTGCTGCAGCAATCAACCTTGACAACCGAGGCGAAGTAATCATCTGGCGTACAAAAGAAATGGTTAGTATTTGGCATCGCCCTCTTTTTAATGTTATAATGGCCAAAAGACACGCATTTAGTAGTGGATTTATAATGGCATTATTAGCCTATATTGTGCTTCGCTGGTACAATGTATAAATAACACTACAGTTTTACTTGTACCTGTAACTGATTCTCTCTCAATCGTAACTTCTGCTTGTACTGGTAGTTGTTCTGGCGATACATCATAACTGCGTCGGAAGTTTGCTTAGTCGGCAGGAATACAAGTGCGACAACAATCAAGCAAAGAAGTGATAGATAGAAGCGAGGCCTTCGAAGTTTCAATCCTGGAGTTTGTTGCATGAAACCTGCGATCTGGATTGGAGTGAGATATCCCGATATTGAAGAAATGCGAGACATCGAGTGACCATAAGCATTTCGAATTGACCCTGCGCTTCCTGTTCGAAATGAGGAGGCTAGTCTACATGAGGCTATCCAACCAATGCACATTGAAAGGTTCACGATGAGGTCAAAGACTTTCTGGATTAGAGTGAGATATCCCGGTACTGAAGAAATGCGAGACATCGAGCGACCATAAGCATTTCGAATTGACCCTGCGCTTCCTGTTCGAAATGAGGAGGCTAGTCTACATGAGGCTATCCAACCAATGCACATTGAAAGGTTCACGATGAGGTCAAAGACTTTCTGGATTAGAGTGAGATATCCCGGTACTGAAGAAATGCGAGACATCGAGCGACCATAAGCATTTCGAATTGACCCTGCGCTTCCTGTTCGAAATGAGGAGGCTAGTCTACATGAGGCTATCCAACCAATGCACATCGAGAGGTTCACGATGAGGTCAAAGATTTCCTTGGTACCTCCTTGCCGTTGGGGGAGGGAGAGCCGAAACCTTTTCGAGATATACACGTTGCTAGCACTTGCCAGATGACGTAGGTCCTGCTCAGTCATTTGAATCAAGCAATTGTCGAGTGCCTTTGTCGTAGTGACTGAGTTCTGGGGTAGCACATCTCCAGTAGCGCCTGTCTTATCGTTACATTGACCGAATGGCTCGAGATCTTCGAGTCCAGCCAGAAAGGTTGCTGCTTTGGTTTCGAGCTTTAAACCCAAACCGGAAAGATCAGAGTCGGGGCTGGGCTGGGAATTGCGATGAGACTGGATCAAGGCAAATTCTTGAAGCTACAGTGTACACAAGTGCGTTAAATCATCGAGGACCAGTTGATATTAGAGTACGAACCAGAGTACGATGCTGGGTGGGGTGGTCATCTTGACTGCGCTTTGCAGGGTTCGACGAAAGATAATCATAGCCAAGATTGTTAGCCTCAAGCTTGTTCATTATCAAACCTTCCGAAAGCGAACTGGAGTGGAACATCTCGGACCGCGGAGAGGGAGGTTCAAGATGCAGAAGATCAGGGGCGGGGGCCTAGATATAACATCAAGCTCTCGAGAATGAGGAATCACTCTAGACTTACGCGGGAAACAGGAAGGGGGATGTCACTAGGTATGCCTGACGAATGTGGTGGCTTCCAAGGACAAGGAGCAAGATGTATAGTTTGCGATGGTGGTGAGTCTGGATAAGATGAGATCTAATAGAGGGTATCTAGTCTATTAAGCAAGATTTTGGTTAGTGATGTCACTTACGCCTTGGCAGTCTAATAAGTAACTAATGTTCGCATTTTCGGTGAGTTGAATTCCCCAGATGGGATCCTTATTGACTTGGAAACAGTCAAAGCAGCGTTCTGTGGAATTCTTGAGTCATTGAATTGCATATGTTCAGAGAGACTCACGAAGTGTTGACAAGCTGGGATTCAAGGATTGATCACCAACCATCATACAGCTTACCATCATCCACAAGCTGTTGAGAGAGATCGTGTGATTGAAACCTTGCACTATTGCTGGGTCGTGATAATATGACACGTCCGTATTCGGTCTGTCCCTAGAGCTCATATTATATACGCGATCAGCCACGTCTTCGACAAGAACGTTCAAAGCTGACTGTACAGCAGGTCAGCGATGATAGAGGATTGACATTTGGACTGCGCACTAAAATCTCTTCGTGGTCTTTGATTCTTGTTTGAAGGCAGTTCAGAGTCTCCTGTGTGTCTTCCAATCTCTTGTTCCCTTCTTGCTCGAATGAATCTATGGCTGCCCAGGCTTTTCTTGAAGAGTCCCCATAATAATTAGTATAAGTTATTTCAGACTTCTCGGGTGCCTGAGGGATTTTAATGCGATACTGGACACAGCGGATAAACATGCTCACGTTGCAGGGAGGTGTGATACAACTAGGTTCATCAGTCGATGTGTTGCTTAGCCGATATTCTCTCAATACCTGCACGGTTTTCAAGCCTATTTTGGTCAAGTCTAGGGCTTGAGTCAAAATGGTATCGCGGTCCCAACATGATGGATTTGTAGGAAATTCATGCATGCGCACTAGAACACAATATTATTGTTATATCTTTCCTTCTGAAAATTGAGATGACTGGGTGGCTCACATAGCAATGTCAAGATTGCGGAATCGCTGGTCAACTAAAGGGTCGAATGATGAAGGATACAGACTCGCAACAAGAACATGATCACAACTACATACCTTCAAAGGCTCCGCATTGATCAATACCAGCAGATTGGACGACGCCGAGCACACTGCCTTCTTCAATCGAGATATCAAGTTAAGATGTGAGGGATATATAGGCGGGATTCGTCCTAAAGGTTGCGTGGAGTCGGAGTATCGTTGAATGTCTTCAATTCGTTCTATGATAGAGTTCTATCATGATTTTCTCAGGAGATGCAGGAGCAATGTGAATAAGTTGAAGTTGCGTACCGCATTCCTAATGGCACGGCGCAGAGTCAAGTTGAGCTGATTAGCTTCTTGGTGTAACACTGAGCATAACACATCTCTCCTAGACTTTGCATTCTGCAAAGCATCTTCAACGCCACTGATGTCGTGTTTGATCTTTTCGACAATGTTCATGATGGAGGAAGGCACAGAGCGCGCATCTCTAGGAGATACTATTTATATTTGCCTAGCTCCTTTGTCCTTAGGCTCAAAGGATAGACATGGCGCAAAATGACGCTTAAGCGCTTAATCAACCTCAAGCAGCCAGCGAGCAAACACTGGATTTTTGCGCTTCCCCTTCGGAAATCATAGGAGTACTCATGCTAAATAGATGTTGTTTCGGACGATGAGAGAAAAATTGCCTACGAAACACGTCTAAAGTTCAGACTTCCTGAGTGCCTTTCAATATGACGGCCGGATACCTCCGAATTCTTGGTTGAACGTTGGTAGCCCATCAGTTGAAAGCTCGCCTAACCACCATTCTCGACGCTATTCCGATTGAAACTTGTCCACTTATCCAAAAATTCCGCTGCACAACGAATTGACTAAGACTCCACTCGATCTTCGGACGATTTGTACCTGAACTCTAATTTACTTGACGGCTGTCTGGAAAACAAATTGTTTTGCTTATATGTTGCGTTGCGTTCTCCAGATCCATCAGAGGTCGGAATTGAGCTAATTCAACATTTATTATATGTATCAGGATAAGCTTTGGAAATCCTTCCCCCAGGTCCCAGCTCTCTGCCTATCCTCTCAATGCGTCCTCGCTTGAAGGACGGAAAACCCATTGGCCAGTATCAAAGACCGATTTCAGGCCATGACAAACCTTATTACCTCTGTTGCTGTGAGTTCTGTCGTGTCGGAGGGATCGCTTGGACCGCCGAGGGCGAAGTAAAAGGGCGTTATTTTCGTTCTGGGGCTGAGATAGAAGCTCATCGGCAGTTTATTGATTCCCAACCCAGGGAGAGTACCCGATCTTCTACGTATGCTGCTCCGCTCCCTCGGTCTGCGGCTATTCCAATCTCTACGGTCCCAGACTCACCTACACCCTCTAACCTCTCTCCTGCGGCAAGTGACTCGTCGTCGATTCCCGTCGCCGTTTCTTTGGGTTCTATTCCTGTGGACGAAAGTAACAGGATGAAATCTCCGAGGGATGAAGATACTTATGACCTGACAAAACTTAGAGCAATTCAAGAACAGCTCGAGAGAGAAAAAAGTCATCCTTCCTGGGACCCCACAGACATCGAATTCATTGAAGATCCTTCTGCAAGTCCCACTCTTCCAGAGAGTAGCGATCATTTGTTGCTCCTTCGCAAGGGACCCTCTAATTCTTTTATCCGCGGCCATTTAGAGTGGCTTAAACAAAGCTCCGATTTTGTTGCAACGCTCTCAAAAACCAATCCCACTTATCAGAGTTACACTTTTCAGAATGTACGAAAGGTTGTTCAGCGTGAGCTGGATCGCCAGACAGTACTTGCTTGGAATAAGGTAGAGGAGGAATGGAACCGGCAACGTCGAATTTCCCTGTGCAAACAGCGGCGAGTCAAAGCTCACAGTAAGCTCAACTATTTTGGCTACATGCTTACGCTAATTGTACTTCTCGAGGTGTGTCTTATGCCGACATAGATCCTTCAAAACAAAGCTACTTGATCATATGGATTCTAGCAGCGGTCATGCATTTCATTTGCAACATAGCGGTTGAACGTATGACATTTCTTCTTGGTGGCCTGCGAATTGTCGCCGGCTTACAAGGTGGTACCCCTGATGAGATAATTTCCTTCATTCCAAAGGAGATGGACACCATTGCAGCCCGACTAGATCTTGAGCCTCACTACACCACATTTGCATGCTGTCCCCGATGTTTCCAGCTCTATGACAATGATGACTTCCCCGACCGATGTTCCAACAAGGCCGCTGCAAACAGCAAGCCCTGTGGTCGTAGATTAAGGCCTTCCGACAAGAGACCAACTCATTCTAGGAAAATGCGTTCGGGTACTAAACTATCGAGCTTGCCAAGACGATCGTTCTTACAGCAAGATTTGGAACACTGGATTGGGTGGATGTATAGCCGTTCGGCTATGGAAAAGTGGCTGGATCGGCCATACTCGGAAAAACCATCCCCTGACAACACTGTCCATGATATGTGGGACTCTTCTTTTCTGCGGACCTTTCTCGGGCCTGATGGACAGAAACCGTTTCTGTGCCCTCCTCCGGGTACCGATGAAAGTCGACTTGTTTTCAACTTGAATTCCGACGGTTTCAACCCTTTTGGAAATCGTACAGCGGGTAAAAAGGTTAGCATCGGGGGTATATACCTTGTGTGCATGAATCTCCCCCCTTCCTTGCGGCATAAACCAGAAAATGTTTTCCTGGTTGGCATTATTCCTGGTCCCAAAGAGCCATCGATGGACCAGATCAATTACATTCTGCGTCCTCTTGTCGACGTGCTCGAGCGGCTCTGGGAAACTGGGATGTACATCAACCGTACCCACCAGCATCCTCATGGACGTACAGTCAGAGCTGCACTTGGTGCTCTTGTTTGTGATATGCCTGCAGCGCGTTTGCTCGCTGGATTCTCTCACTATTCCAGTAACACACTTTCTTGTTCCATGTGCAAAGTTTCCGATGTTAATGAGCTGGACGAAGAATCCTTCCGACCTCGTACTGCTTCAGAACATCGTCAAATGGGTAAGGCCTGGCTAGATGCACAGAGCGAAACGGAGCGAAAACGTCTGTATGAACAGAACGGTGTTCGATGGTCAGAGCTTTTGCGCCTTCGTTATTGGGACCCTGTCCAAAACACTGTCATAGACCCCATGCATGGCTTTTATCTTCGGATTCTTCAACGACATTGTAGGGACATATGGGGCATGAGTGTCAACCTCGAAGACTGCGATGGATTATGGGAGCTGGATGAGCCTACTGATGAACAGAAATCTGCAGCTCGAAATGTGTTCCGATACGGTTCGGCCTCTGCGCTGAAACAACTTCGCACCAACGCTCTCCGTTATCTTGCATTACAGGAGGGTTTGGAGCACCGTCGGAAGAAAAACTCGCTCCTATCTGCTTTACTGCAGCTGGTGTGTCAATTTATACTTCATACTTTCAAAATCTGACCATATACTTTAGCGCGTCGCTAGAAACTGGTTCGACGCTGACAACAATCGGTTACCTATCTCCGGCCGATCTTCTGACACACCCTCAGACTCCGATTCTGTGCCAGAGATCGAGGTGGACGCCGAAGCAATGCGAGTGGTAGACGAGAATGAGGAAATCGTCAAAGCTCGGAAAGAGTATAGAGATGGAAAAACGAAGGAAGGCTTCCGCAATTTTAGTCCTGATACTATCCGTCAGCTTTCGGATGAACTAGGCGTCACAGCAACCACCGGAAAAGGCAAACCGTCTCGAAGCAAAGTAAATCTAATTGATATGCTAGTTCAAAAGGTCTGTTGTGTTTGTCATCATTGTATAGCAAGCTAACCATCATGTCCTATCGTAACCAATGACAGCGAAAAGAGGACGCTTCGATTCCTTTCCCAGAAACACTTAGCCAGCCTGAGAATGCTTTCAATAAAGCTTCCGTGGAACAGCTTTATGAGCGGGCTCCTAAAAGGGTCATCGATAAGATGAAGTGGCCAGAACTGAAAGGTATATGTCTCTTTATTGGGAAGCTCAAAGTCCGAAGAGTGCAGAAGGGTGAGGATGACAACCTGGGCAGCTCAGACCAGGAGGATGGCCAGGAGGATACCTCAGACGGAGAAGAGTTCATATTCGAAGAGGGGGATCTTTCGAGTGACCTCGAGGCCGATACCGATCGGAACTCACAAGTGCTGCGAATGCAAAAATTTATCCACAAAAATGTATGCTTTGTTTTGTTCTCATCCCCTTTTCTAATCCATCACTGTAGCGTTACGACTCCGGAATAACCAACAAGGCTGGTCGACTGAAGCGCCGAACGAAAAAGGGGAAGGCTGGTGTCAAGAAGGCCGGCGTTTTGGGAAAACAGATGCTTGCTGATGTCCGTCGAGACATGGAACGACTCTCTCTTCCATCATGGGTTGCCAGAGCACCTAGCCGCCCAGGCGAGACAACGCAAGGAAAATTCAGTGCAGACCAGTGGCGAACATTTTGCACCGTAAACTTACCAATCACCTTGATACGTCGATGGGGCTCGTTGCCAAAAAACGAACGCAAGTATAGAATGCTAGCAAATTATATGCAGCTCGTGTCCGCAGTCCGTCTGGCGAACATGCGGGAGATGACAGAAAAACGCATCCAATACTTCGAGGAACTCATTCGCTTGTATCTGAAAGGCATACAGGAGTTGTATCCTCACACTAACATCACAATCTATCAGCATATGATGCATCATTTTGGATCTTTACTCAGACGCTTTGGCCCTGTTCATAGTTGGCGTTGTTTTGCTTTCGAACGTCTGAATTATGTTCTGCAGCAGACATCCACAAACAATAAATTAGGTGCGTTTTGCACCCTTTCCTCTCTTCATGTTATTGAATGTTACCCAGGGGAGTTGGAAAAGACAATGTTCCGACGATTCTGCATGACTCAAAAACTGCGCTCCATCTTCCATGGCGCTTCTCTTCCAGCTTATTTGGTCTCCCTTGCTACAATTTATGAAAAATGCTTCGAGAGTTCCGACACTCGAGGCACCCGCATCACTGATGTTCTTGCATGGGAGACGGCGGCCGAGAACTCGCTAACAGAGAAAGTCGATTGGAGCGACCAGGGTCAACTTACTGCTCTAGACACGCAAACTTTCAAGGCACTCTCGCATGCGGTCAAGCTTTTGACGCCAGAAGTACCTCTTCGCCTTTCCCCTCACGTACATGACTGGAAGCGAGTAGAATGGCGAGATTTCACGTTTACGACTCAGAATTGTGCTTTTTCGGACTCTCAAGTTGTTTTTGACACCGGCAAGGGATGGTCTGCCGGCTGTATAGACCGCATCTTCAGCGCCCGTTGGATTGCTGATGGAAGCCATCACTATTCAACTTTTGCTCAGGTCAAGGAATATTCTCCTTTGTCGCAGCAAGACAGTCAATTTGACAACTACCGCGATTTTGGCTTCGCTGGCGGCCGCTTGTTCTACAATCATTTCGAGAAAGAGCCGATCGTTTTGCCTCTTGCTCAACTTAGTTCCCATTTTGGATTTTCCATTCAGTCAGTCCCTAGTATTACAACAGAAATCTTCCACGCGCTCCCCTTGAACAAAGTGAGTTTCTAGTTATTCCTACGGTAGGAGTCACCGTGCTGAACTGTTGATAGACTTTCGAGTTCAATTCTTAACAACACGCAAGGAAGAACACCACCGGTAAGCGATGTCAACGAAAGGATCCATGGTTTCATCACCTGCATGTAGTCTGTACTTGTATTGTCTACCTGCTACTCTGTAACTGTAGTCACGATAATTACATTAGTGCTGTCACATTCATAGATATTCATATCCACATCGTAGGTGCTCAAACTGGTTGGAGTCTATAGTGTATTGTTCCCTCGCAGTTAGTTGTACGCTTCTAATCTGCACTGCGATTCGCAACCTGAGTCGTCGGCTGAGTGATTTTGCCCTTCTTCTTTTTGTTGGGAGACTGACTAGCAGTATTCGAGGGACCTGCGATGTTCGAGGGACCTGCAATGTTCGAGGGACCTGCAATGTTCGAGGGACCTGCGATGTTCGAGGGATCTGCAATGTTCAAGGGACCTGCGGTGTTCGCGAAACCTGTAACATTTGGGAGACTTGCTTTATTCAAAGGACCTGCGTTCGGAGGACCTGCGACCGAAGGGTTCGCGATACTGACACGCACACGTTTGGCGTCAACGTCCGATGCACCTGTTTCTATTAATTTGCGTTTGAGTGTCCTAGTCATTGACTGGTGAATAATTTTGAGCGGTATGCATGGCAAGCTAACTCACTTTGGGCGCGGGTCGGCAGCGAGAATGGAGGGAACATCATCTGATTTAAGATGTTCATCTCGTCATGGCACCAGGAAGGAGTGTTTGACCTACCAACAAAATGTCCAAGCACAGAGAGTTGACTGCCCGAAGGTCATGAAATCAGCTGATAATGTCGAAGAGGGTTGAGAAAATACACACTTTGGACCTTCTAGGTGCAGACTACATTCGATATCCTTGTCTAGTCGAATGAGGATTTGAGTATGGTCCAGCTTTGTTCCGACGATCAGGGCCATGTAGAGCAAGATACAAAATACATACCGCTCCTACTCTCATCGTGGCAATGTTAAAAGATTCACCCTTGCCATGTACAGCAAGAACTAGTGTTGTTCGGGCAAACACATCCGTATAGTTCTTGATGGCAACATTTGTCAATACTAAGTTCCGAGTGGGTTTGAACGTAGTCGAGATTCCGGCAGAAACATTCATCCCCCTGCGCAAACCAGTTGAAAGTCAGGTATGGAATCGGGATAGACAAGAGATGAGAAGAGACATACCAGAACGACATGATTTACGCAAAGAACGAAGTTAGTGGCAGGTGGCAAGTCAAAGGCCATTTTATAGTCCAAAACTATCAAGACAAAGGGATCCGCGCGGGGTTTTCCGCAAATCTGGCCATGGTCGAACAAAGCACGAGCAAACCACGTTCCAGCTAAATTAATGCAGAGTCCCGCCGGCCCGCCATTATAATCCAAAGCACAGCCACGGGGCCAATAAGGAAATTTGCACGCATTCTGTTCTGTTCTGTTTCCATAATGCTGGTCTTTTGCCTGTACGCATAATCATACTGCTTTGCTGGCTCGGAATGTATTGATGTTCCTGAGTGGCAGGGCACTCAAACCTAGGTTTTGCGTCTACGCATGGATCTCTCTTGTAGACGATCAAGTCGTTAAAATTTTACTCGCTTTCAACTTCCGAATGTTCAATGCAAGAACACCCCTGCCCTCCCGATTGCCCTGAGGGATTTGCTCTTATGCCTCAGAAAGGGCCTTTCTGAATATCCAATGCAAGAACACCCTGCCCTTTCCAGTTGCTCCAAGGGTTTTGTTCTATAATTCCGAAAGGGCGTTTCATGGTATATTCATATATGTACCTAACAGAACAAGTGGTACTGTCGCTGAGCCTTAAGCACTACATGTGAGTGGCATTCAAGCCTGGAATATATTCTCTAACAATCCGTCACAGTTGAATATACCTGTTGAATCAGTATGCCCCAACGACTTCGACCAATTCCGATACATCGTACTATTGCACCAGCGTCGAACCCGGAGCTCTTACTCGAGCCCTCCTCTACATTAATTGGGAAACGAAAACGTGCAGCCGATGACAACATCGAAGGAAACCAAGATAACATTGACGATACCGGCGATCATGAGGGTCCTACTAAGTTATCTGCCCCAGACATGAAGCGTGTCAAGATATGGGGTGGAGAGTCACTCGATCGTGGTCTACCTATTTCCGTTCTTACCCAAGGCAGCTATTCTCCGACTCGTATTGACGGTCAGCTGAGTTTCTCCTTCTCATCGTCATCTTTCATTCTCAACGTATTTCAGCTGGCGTCCATATTTCCCAGGTCACACCGTCGTTAGACCTGAATATGTCTACTGTTCCTCCCGGAGCCTCGATTCCTCCCAATTCCGAATCCTTTCCTATGCCTGTTGCTGAATCTTCTTATTCAGTGTCTGGTTTGGACTGTCAAGCTAGTAAGTCGAAGCATCTTTTCTCTTCATGACCGCGAAATTGTCTCAATATTGCAATGTTGCAGGCCTTCCCTTTCAGGACATCCCACCGAATGCAACGCAGCTCCAAGGTCCCATTCCCGACGTGGTTGACCCTTTTCGATCCTCTCTGATTGTCTCATCCTCTGACGGAACCACTCATACCTGCCCCCTTGATTCGACAATCAAAAACCAAACACTGGGATTGATCCCTGTCACTAGTTCCGCTTGTCCCGACCCGACTCATCCATACCCAAAAGTAGACATCGTCTCGGAGTCTAGCTTTAGCACCGCGCTCAATCCCGATTCGGAAGATATCAGTGAAAACGACGATGATCAAGTGGAAGAGTGCGCAACACTTGGGGAGTTCATGGAAGAGGAACCGTATAGGCATGATGGCGGAATGTCGGCCAGTGGTTCTGTCGTTTCTGATGGAGCTGTACTGGCTGAATCAGGAGGTGGCACGTTTAGGAAGGCATCCGAACCCAATCCCTTCGTCGAAAACATTAATTTTGATCGCGATATGGGCTTCACCGAGGTCAACGACAATCAAGCCAGCAATCTGAATGACACCGATACTGCCCATATGGAGACAAGCAATTCGTTCACTATCCGCGAGGACAATCCGTCCATTCCGAACCAAAATCAAGCGTTTGAGGAAGATGTCAATGAAGATAACGAAAATAAGGAAAGCGAAGAGAGCGAGGAGGACGAGGAGAGTGAGAATGAGCGTGAAGATGAAGGGAATAGTGCCCCGGTCGGCAGCGCCATGTCGATCAGATGCTCTATCATCGAACTGGAGGAAGAAAATGTCGCAGGTCCCAGATCTTGTGTACGCGAGGTTGCTGATTCTGATTCAGATATGAATCCAGATGGATACGACTACCAATCCAGTGGCGATTACGGCCAAAGTAGTGTTCCGAATGGCACCGAGGCAGAGACCACCCATTTGCGCTCGGGTACAATTGTGTCCGAGGATGCTCCACCTGTTCAAATCCAAACTTGCGAGGAAGAGGAAGATGATCATGATGAGGAGGACGAGGACGGTTATTTTGAAGATTATAACATGGGTAGGGAAGACCAGTATGAGGAGACGGAGGAGGAGGATGACTATGTCGAAGATTATAACGTGGATGGGGAAGACCGGTATGGGGAGGCGGAGGAGGAGGAGGAGCACTATGGCGAAGATCGTAGCATGGGTGGGGATGATGATGATCAGTATGATGCAGAGGAAGAGGAGGAGGAGGACTATGTTGAAGATTATAACATGGATGGGGAAGACCAGTATGGGGAGGCGGAGGAAGAGGGGGAGGAAGAGGAGGAGGAAGGGGAGGAAGAGGAGTGGGAAGAGGAGGAGGAGGAGGAAGGGGAGGAGGAAGAGGAGGAAGGGGAGGAGGAAGAGGAGGAAGAGGAGGATTATGTCGAAGATGATACCATGGATGGGGAAGACCAGCACGCAGAGGAAGAGGAGGGCGATCTTAGCAATGTCATTGTCCAAATGTCAGCTAGAGATCCTATTGCCGTTGAAAAGGAAGAAGACGTGATTGAGAGTCACGCGTCCGAGGAAGCTTTTGCCTACATTGGAGACTATGACATGGATGGAGAAGACCAGTACGAGTTGGACGAGGAGAAGGATTCCGGAAGCAGCATCGGCCGGTCTGAGGAAGCTTATCAATCCGATGCTTACGACGAAGACTACAACATGGACAGCGAAGAACAGTTTGCGGGGGAAGCGGAAGAAGAGGAGGAAGAGGAGGAAGAGGAGGAAGCGGAGGAAGCGGAGGAAGAGGAGGAAGCGGAGGAAGAGGAGGAAGCGGAGGAAGCGGAGGAAGAGGATTCCGGCAATGGAATTGGCCGAATCTCACCAAGAGGTCCTACTGCTGTTGAAGATGAAGAAGAAGAGGAGGAGATAGAGAATTGCAATTCTGACGAGGCTTTCCAACGTCATGCCTATGTTGAAGACTATAACATGGACGAGGAAGACGAGTATGCCGATCATGATGATAGTGAAGATTCGAACGACGAAGATGTCGATATGCGGGACGGAGATGTTGATATGCGGGACGAGAGCCCAGTTATTCATGATACTTCACGAAAGGCAATGGTAGAGGATGTGTCGGATGAGGACGATCAGTATCCAGCGACGCATTTCCATTCTGGAAAGCAACGGGGTACCGCCTCATTCTTTTCAATTTCTCCGCCCAGCACGCCCTTCAAAACTTCGTATGTGGAGATTGACGAGGAAGTGGACAATGAAGCGGATAGTATCGTGGATAACCCAGATCAAGACACTGTGCTTTGGATGAGAGACGAGATACAGGAGCTCATCAAGACACAGGTCAAAACCAAGGAAATGGTATGTAACTTCATTTCCTCACATCGACATCTTTCTAACTCATATCACTCAGAAAAAGCATTTCACAACATTCCTCGAAAAATCAATGGACAATCCAGCCCTAGTCCTTGTTGCTCTTCATGCCCACATTGTCTACAACAGTGGCCGTCCGAGCCGTAATGCCTCGCAGGACATGGAACACTTCGACTTCGGCAGTGCAGACGGCATGAGTGCTGCAAGTCAGGAAAGCGACGAGGATGATGATCCTCCCCCTGCTAAACGCAAGAGTCCTAAGCGACGATCACAAAATCAAATACATCTTGCTCGCCAGATTCGCGCTTCTGTTAAGTCTTTACTGAAGCTCGATGACGATAAGGAAACCCTGATAAAAAGGTGTGTCGAGCAGTGGGAGATAAAGGATTGGATCGATGCGAAGTGCTCGGGACCCACCGTCGATAATTTTCGTCTGGATTTAGAGAACAAAGGAACACTGACTCGTTGGAACAAGGCCGCTTGCACTGTATTTGTGTCTTATTTCAAATCTTCCCCAGCGCACCAAAAATACTCTACGGTCATTGTCACGAAGGCTTTTGAAACCCATTTGATCCAACTTAAACGAAATATGGCCAAGGCGAGGGAATCAGTCAAGACCAAAACGAAGGGTGGCCAATCTGTAAAGTCGGATCGAGAGAGACAGAATCGACGAGTAGCTAGACGTAAACGTGTATGTTTGCTATTCTACTTCTTTTGACATGATCTGATCATCTGTTCTAGTTGCTGGAGCGTCGTCTTAACCTTTTCGCAAGGTTGAAAAAAAAGTATGGCGACGCGATACCGAAAGAGCTGGAAGACGCTATAAACCTTCTTACTTGGGAGATGATGAGTGGGGATGAGACCGACGGTCGTTCACAATTGGAATATCCCCATTTTTGGATCAGGAAACTCGAGTGGCGCTCCTCCGAACTTGCAGATTTGCTTGCATATTTGTCTGCTCTAGACATTGCATTTCGCTATATCCAGAATGGTCTGTACACCAAAGGAGCATTTCCTCTAGCTCGCACCAATCGTCTCAACTGCATTGAGACACAGTATCATGATCCTCCGACAGGCTTGCCCCGCAATTTCTATTCGACCGCGTGGCTGGAAAGTCATCCTGACCGCCTTGGTTCGGTTGTACCTACGAAAGCATTGAATCTGACGTTGCCTTCCAATATTCAACAGTAAGTCGACTCAACGCGTGCGATTTCGTTAACTAATGGTTTACTAGGAACGCTTTCCGTTTTCTGCATGTCAAAGAACGCTCAGACAAGCCACTGAATGTTGATGACCCGAGGCTGAAAAATACCTAAATAACCGCATGGTTGCTTGCGCTAACGCAGAGATGGGCGTTTGCCCTGTAGTATACCGCTGAAAGCTATCTATATTCATTTTAATCCATCTATGAAAAGTATGGGCGATGTCAACTTCCTCGGCCACTGCAACGTTGACCTATCTTACTGCCGTACCACCTTTCGTGTAATCATACCTAGCTGTCGAACTCGACGAAAACTTTTTGTAGAATTCAGTTTCCTCTGCCAATTCTCTGTGCTGCCTTCCCTTCCCTCTACTCACGCGGCAGATGTGTAAGGTAGAGCCAGCACTTGCCCAAGTATCCTTGTTCCATTGGTTAAGTTACTAATGGCAGAAATTCACTCAAAGAACAAGAACACCAGCTGGAATTATAGGTCATCTGTCTGGCTGATCCGACGCGTGAACAAACTTGAAGTTGGACACATGACCGCACTACACTAGAACGTGTATGTCACTGCATTTTCGAAAATCTGTGCAAAGATTTGTTCTAACCATGATAGTTTCAATGCTACCTAGCAGCAACAAAACTCCGTACGTTTTGATTTAGGACATCCCTAATATGAAGCAGCTCATCACATCGAACCCCAGTAACATGACATTCAGTTGTTTCATGGATTATATATTTTGCAACAACATTTGTCTCACTGAAGCTAACAAATTATCCAATGAAAAATGTCAGTCTGAACAGCAGTCTTATGTCCCATCAACTGCTACTCATGAGGATGAAATGATGTAACAGATGAACCCATCTCAGAGTATGTACAAAGGTGGTTTCACTCTGAGTTTGTTTTTGTCATGCCCTGTCCCTAAAAGCTCCCCTTGTTACCCTCCTAGACATCCCAGAACCGCGTATCAGCTCCTTTGCACCTCCCAAATAACCTCCCATGAAACCCCCATGAACCATGGAACCCTAGCCAACCTCCCGACCAATGCTAACCTCCATCTGAAGCAACAGCTCCGCGACTCGCGTATGCCGCCGGACAATCCCCTATCAATTTAGCGTCATGGGTTCCGCACTTCACGCCAGCCCCAATAGATGCTTGTTTATTACAATGTTCCTTTACCTATTCAGCCCACCTATATAAGTATCCTCTGTAACATCAGCGTCCCTAGCTTGGTATATTTTGAACACACACCCTTTACATAGGTTCAGTCCCTGTCCCTTTGTACCTGCTACCTATACGGAATTCTCTTTACTCTCTGTTTCTTTACCTCTGTTTCTCTCTACTCTTGCCTACTATCTCAACGATCATCTCTACGGTCGAATATACACTTTTACTTCACGTCTAAGCAATCCGAGTGAGTCTCCGAGCTCCCTCAAACAATACTAAAGCTCCCCAACGCCTAACGCCTTGGTGAGCTAACCTCCCCAACGCCTAACGCCTTGGTGAGCTAACCTCCCCAAAACCTCCTCGAGCTCCCCAATTGCTCCACAAGCTCTGGGATCTCAATCTAGGTAATGTCAAAGCTACCCCTTACATCAAACTACGTGCCGCTTCTCTGTTACCACTTCCAACACTCGAGGACAAGCCCCAGTTCCGGGACCTCCCCTCCCGGGCGTATATCTTCTCTGGAGCTTATACACTTGAGACCTATTCTCTCTACGACCTATTCGATCTCACGTTGACGTTCTAGCGAGTATAACTCCTTCTACGCAACTCTACTAGGTTCCGTACATTTACCTCCTCTATCTACGCCTTAGGGACCTCCCTGGACCTTACAGGAACCCCTCCAAGGGTCACAACTCTCTATCCCAACCACTACTAGGTCATTCCTGTCCTCGGTCGCGGTTTCCGTAGCTCCCTTCAAGCTCCAGCCTGCTCCTAGCTGTCATGCGCTGGCTCCAAGCCACAGCGCAGTACTCCTTCCTTGTATTCCAAGTAACACCCCGAACCTCCTTCTCCCTCTTGGGAACCTCCCCTTCCTCCCTAGACGCCATCTTGAAACCTCCTCAAACCGCTACCCAAGAACCCGGTACCTCCACAGCCGCCACTGCTTGACAGACCCGGGAACTCGTCCACGCACCCATCAGCCTATTCTCATATATTTTAGATCATCCCCTTTAAGTGTCCACTTCACACAATGTTCCCCTGATCCTTTCCTCCTGTCTATATAAGTACTCGTATATCCTAAGGATCCCTAGCTTGGTATATTTTGAACACACACCCTTTACATAGGTCCAGTCCCTGTCCCTTTATACCTGCTACCTATACGGAATTCTCTTTACTCTCTGTTTCTCTATCTCTGTTTCTCTCTACTCCTGTCTATTGTCCCTCTGATCGTCTATACAATCGAATATACACTTTTACTTCAAATCTAAGCCTTCCGAGTGAGTCTCCGAGCTCCCTCGAACATTACTGAAGCTCCCCAACACCTAAACGCTTTGGTGAGCTACCCTTCCCCAAACCTCCCAGAGCTCCGTAGCTACTTTGTAAGCTTCGGGACCTCGATCTAGGTAACGTCAAAGCTACCCCTCACGTCGAACTACGTACTGCTTCTCCGTTACCACCTCCCACACTCGAGGATGTCCATTCTCAAGCCCAGCCCCCAGGGACCTACCCTCCCTGGTATATACCTTCTCAGGAGCTTACACCCTCGAGACCCATCTACATATACGACCTACTCGATCCTATATTGACGTTCTAGCGAGTACAACTCCTACTACGCAATATCGTATGGTCCCGCACTCTTCCTTAACCTCCCTACGCCTTAGGGACCTCCCTGGACCTCCTAGGAACCCCCTCAAGGGTCATCATCTCATCGTTCCAGCCACTACTAGGTCATTCCCGTCCTTGGTCGCGGTTCTCGTAGCTCCCTTCGAGCTCCAGCCTGCTCCTAGCACGCTACAACATAAACCTCCTCATACCAAAACATACCTTAAGACCTATTTTGACCCAGGTCTTACATTATACCAAGCTCTCCCGTCACCGAATGGACTCGTCGCGACGAAATGTCTGCGACGTCAACGGAACGACCTTCTAGTTCCAAGATCGAATCAAAGAAACAAAAGAGCGCCTTATCTTGTGGAAACATGACACAAGCTCAAAAATTGAACCAGGCTGCTAGCTCCACTGTCATCACAGTGGCAGCTGGTCAACGCCTGATGTCCATTCCAGAACAGTCGTTCGGGGATAAAACCGCTAGCAACGTAAGGACCCCCAAGGGACGCCAACCTGCGGTTCAGGAGCCCCCTCCCGTGGAACCTGGGATGGGACCACCACAACGGAGGTATACCTCCATGGGTTATGCCCAACCTGCCAGTAGTCCCATGGGAGGTTTCACCTACTCCCCTACCTGGGGAACGAGAGGACCTCCTCCTGGACCGGTACCGCAGCTAGACATGGAGTCAGCTTCGAACGCGGGTGGAAGAGTCAGCAGCCAAGTAGCCGCCATCGAAAGGATACAAGGGGAGAATACGGATCCTCTTACAGTATGACAACAGGAGAAACTCCCAGAGAGGAGGGTATCACCTGCAATATCCAAACAGTCTCGGACGTCATCCCGGAGGTTACCAACTCCTCCAGTACAGTCCCTTAACCTTCCTCCCCCGAGACGAGGAAGTTCGCTCTCCACTCTCCTGAAGAGTCCAGCTATGAATACGCCCAACTGGGTACACATGCAATACATCATAGCAGGACCAACTTCCCAGTACAACCGTTGTCTGAAATGACATTGCGTCTGGAAGACGTCATTTGAATTCAGGAGTGTATCCCGGAGGACGTAGCTATGGTCTTAAGGGAGGTATTGGAGTCAATGGGGATCGAAATATTGGGAGATGGTATGAAACGAGATCTAATCCGTCACACGAAGTAGACCCGTCTCGAGTACGACGGGAGGTTTGAGTTGGTCTGAAGAATGGCCTGAACTGGGGAGTTTCGTACGATTTTTCCTAGGTTTTTCTTAGATTCCGAAGGTCAGGGGGATAAAATCTGTCTTCTCTTCTCTTTTACCTACTCTCTAAGTAGGGAAAGATACCATACACATGTGACTTAAAATACGTTTGAAACAAAAGAAATGAACCCTCGAAACACTGGATCATACAGAGAGGGTGCGGGATAAGTACTTTTTAAGGGAACAAATAAAATAAGACTGGCTACCAATGGTACCCTTTTTGAGGGATTACCGCTGGCCTATCCTGTACGACCTGTCCTCAGCCCGATGTGCTACCTATCGCGTGGGACCTTGTCGAGTTCCGTGTGCAGAGCCACATGGAGCTCGACAACGGTCTCGAATTCTCAGACTTATGGGTACAGTTCCTAACAGTGGAAACTCAACTGGAGATAGACCTCCCAGAGAAGGCCCAGCAGTGGCTGATGACCCCAGCAAACTGATCAGACTTTCTCTGGTTGTACAATGTCCTGTTGGACCCAGAGAGGATATTGGAACTGTTAGAGGCAGAGGCACATTACGGGTGATTGTTCCGAAACTCGAGGGGAATACCTCCCCTCCTCCCTCATACCCATAGAAGGGAGAAGGAATTCTGTGGCGAAGCGGGGCTGCGTATATTGTACCGAGCATCTAACTACAGATCAGGAGCCGTACGATTTGAACCTCCCCCTTTGAGGGTTAATATCCCGAACTACCAGGCGATCCAAATACTTCGGAATGCAAACTTAGCGGCGGCGGCTGCAAAAATTGATGAAGAAAGCAACAAGGATGTCAACACAATCGCTGCAGAAAACCGTAGACACAGGATATACACCATGGCTCTCACTGGCGCTGCGCTATCCCACTTCGATACATTGAATCAGCAAAGACTGAGGGGGGAGTACACCTGTCTCGAAGATTGGACGGAGTTCAAACGAGAATTTGGTTCCAAATTCGTACCCATTGACGAGGCGGACGAGGCAAGGAGGAGACTGGCCTGGATGAAGCAAATGCCAGAGGAAAGCTTCGCCAACTTCTTCATTCGCTTCAACGTATATGCCCCTCTGACCGGATTTAACGATGAGGCCCTGGTGACATACCTCAAGAAAGGGTTAGCTCCCTGGTTGCCTCT